AGAAATTCACATCTGCTCTGTTACCCAAGGGCAATCGTGTCGAGCTTACGCGCTGTCCGGTCACGGTTAGACTCCCGCTTAGAGTCTTGATAGGACCTATGCTGGGTCAACACTGCATGCCATCCTGAATGAGAACACCTTTTGGGAAAGCAAAGATATATGAAATCCAATGAAAAACATCATCTCTACTCATATCATTGTGGGACAATTCAACTACCAGTCGTTCATGAGCTTAAATGAACTAGGGTGAAGACAACTCATATATCTGATTTAGTGGTAGCCACGAAAACCGAGAGACAAGTACACTTTTCCAAAATCAGTCCTTCTTCGCCTCAAACAGCAAAGGGTGAATAAATCTCCTACCAAAGCTACTATTATAAGCTGTGGTAGAATTCGGTCTATCATTCATCTGCTAGCTCTTCCAGTCAACTGTTGATCTGTGTGTACATGAATTAAATGTTAAAGCCGAAAAAAGGGAGTATAAACGAATCGAAGAGAGCCGTTTGTTCCGTTTCACTCTCACCATAAGCATTTTTGTCTCCTCCGAAATGGCTAAGGGCTGTTAGGCCGCCAGTGGCTGCCGACCGAGACGAGCTGGCGGTAGCGGCCACGTTTGTGGACACGCCTCCGGGGGAGGCTGCTTCAGCTGCTGCTGCCAGCCGGACGACAGCAAGACCGGCGGCCAACAGGTTGGTAGAAATCAGCTTCCACGAGGCGACGCCTTCAATGGCATAATCGGGCCCGAGGTGGGGCCCACGATTAGCAGGGCTAATCGGGACTCGGGCGAAGAGACCGCCGATCTGTGAGCTTGGGTCAGAGTCCCGCTGAGTGCTCGCCGAGCGGACATTCCTCGAACGCCAAGTGAACGGCCCAGCTCGAAGAAGGGGCGAGGAGTCAAGCGAGGGGCAGCGAAGCGAGACGGCGAGGAGCAGGAGAAGGCAGACGACGCTCGGAAGGATTGCATGTAGCCTCAAGAGGAAAAGTGTTGCTAGGCCGCGAAATACCGCGTGTTTCTGCAACATGTCGACGAACGTCAAGTGGAGTGGCTAGAAGGGAAAGCAGTTCGACCAGGTGAAATGTATTTTGGTTCGGCCGTCTTGTGTCCTCGACACTGCCAGCTCGGTGACGCTTCTTCACTGGCTCGCGGCTGCCGGAAAGCGACCGTTTGAGGCATGGCCCGAGGCAATCGGCAGTGCTCAAAGAAGGAGCCAAGTGTGATCGACTGCTCTGTACCTGTTGGGTTGCGGGAAACAAATCAAAATGTATCGGGATCCATCTTTGGATTCTGAGAGTAATGTATCGTTTTGACATACAGAAACAACACCTTTTATCGCTCTAACCTCTCAAACATGTATAGAGGACTAGATGCAATCTCCAACTTATAAACACACAGGTTCACACACACACACACACGCAGACCCACAAATCTGCTAAGAAAATCATTGCATTTCTTGTCTACATATCGACCTAAACGTGGTTTTTACAGAATATCGTGAAAATACAATGTTGAGCTCACTTTCAGTTTTAGTGTAAATTTTTAGTGAAAAAATTCGAAGATTTATCCCAACAGAAGATGATGGTTGACTTTACTGGAATATTACTGTTAGCGCTGTTTCAGAGGCAATTTCCTCAGATTCTGGTCTGTCGTATGACGGACAACTTTAGAACAGAATACCATTCTTACGACTATATTCAAGCTAAGAAGTACGCCGAAAACAGAAGCAAACTGAGAGCGTTTTCACTGGAATCAAAAGAGATTACCTCGTAACCAACGTCAAAAAGAATATTCCCATAAATCCAAACAACAGCTAGTCATGAGGAATCCGCCGTTGTCTTTTGGTGGGGTCGAACATCAAGTATCTTCACCAAAGATTTCATTCGAAATGGAGGCAAGCTTAACAATTATAAACCAGAGAATTCCTCGAAGCCCAAATTTTCTTCGCACATAAGTTAGTGTGTCTTTCTGATTCAGCGCCAGCCCTAAGTGGAGTGAGGATGTGCGTCAGGAGACTAACGAAAGCACAACATCCTATCCGTTCCAAACTAGAATTGTCTTGGGGCTGTAATTTTAGATTACGAATACCTTCCACTCACTTCTTAAAACGAAATATAAGGTACCCCAAGATTACTATAATAAGGAGTTCTCCGAAAACCTGTTTTTTTATATCTGTCACAAAACATCACAATTTCACTGCAGCCGATTGAGAGGGTCTCGTGGATATATTCATAGTAAATACGTTTCGATACTATCAAATAGTTCATAGATAAGAACTACATCCATCCAATGTCGAACAAAGCGAATTTCCCCATACCAGCATAAGCAGGCCTCAAGATGGCATTTAATTTCATCTAGCTTTTTCTGCCAAAATGTATTAACATCCAGTTATACTACCGAAACCTATCCATTATGAATACCGGCAGCGTAGTTGATTATAATTACAATTACCTGCTTATTCACATCTTTACAAAAGTATGATATAGTATAGGGTGGGCTAGCCTTAAAGGTCCTGTCTACTGTGTGATCCACTGGAATTCGTGGTTGTGTGGCTAAGTGGCAACTTGGCGCAAGACTCGGGCTAGATTCTTGTGGGGAGGTGGTACGAGGCAAAACTAAGTTAAATTCGTTGGTATTGCTGTGCGGAGATTGAGACATCTGTCGTTCGTTACCTTGTGATGCCATGAGCAACTACAGTTCTTACTCCAAAATAATCAAATCACAGAAGGCCAAGAAGAATCTAATGCCGTCGCTCATTTATAAAAATGATATTCATCGTGCATATCCACATAATTTGTTGGGCCTGTTGATAATAAAGACACAGGTGATCAAACAACTAAGAACGAATCGCAATATCCTCTTCAAAATAAGTGGTAAATTTCGAAGCGAATTGAAGATTACTGTCAAACAATTAGGAAATTAATTCGATAATTAGGAATTGTATAAACGAATACGGAGTAATGTAAGAAAAAAAATATAAATTTGGCTTTGAACAAAGAAAGAGTTCAATTTATGCTATTTTAATATTTTTGCCTTTAAGTAGGTTAGCTTCATCGACAATCCCAACAAATAATGCGATATGGGAAAATGCATGATCCTGTTTGAAATTCAAATCTATCCTATGAACCAAAGGTACTCGTGGCAATGTGGCGTAATGGTTAATATGAGATTTATTCACACTATTTCGTTTAAGGT